CGCTCCCGTCTTCCCAAATTTCCAGAAAACCACATATCCTCCTACTCCAATCAGAAGAAATCCAGTGATCATCAGGCCGAACGTCCACAAATCTTCCACGTCCTTGATGGACAACTGAGAAAGGCACACGATTCGCCAGACCTCCCAAGAATCGAGTGCATATCCCGCCGCGACTGTCCCCTCGGGACAGGTGGGAGCCCCGTTCTCCGTTCTCGTCATAGAAAAAATTTTATCTACCGCGTTGAATGACCAGTTAATTAGGTCCATATTACCAAAAAAAGAGTAGTGGTTTCAGGAGAAATGCAGAGAAGTGCTCTGTAGGCTGACAGGACAAGAGCCTTGGGGAAACAGATAAGGGAGCTGAGAAAAAGCGTCTGTACTCTCTGAAGGCTGGAAAAATAATGTGTTTGTGTTTAATTACAGCCATTTTCTGTCTAATACAGAAAATGTAGTGTCTGTCACGGTCTGGGTTTTTTCCTCCTGCCTTTTGCTATGTGGTTTTGAGTCTCCTTCTGCAGGTGGGCGTGTTTGGAGGTGGCCAAGTTGCAGATCATCAGCTCATCAGTCGGCCAGGGAGTATTTAAGCAGCTGAGAGACACCATCACTTCGCTGGATGATTACTCTACCTGGACAAACCCTCTACTCCCAGCTCTGACTGGCAGAATTCTGGAGAACTTCTACAACCGCTCGTCTCTCAGTCCCTACCTGGCCAATTCCACCTCCAGTAGCCCACCAATACTCACCTGGATCTGCACCATCTTCATGCTCAGCTCCTTCTACTTCCAACTCTGGATCTCTGCTCCTAGAAAGCTTCATCGACCCAGACCGGACCAACTTCCCCCATCGAGCTATTTCCTTTCAGACTGTAAGTTCTCAAAAGATCACTAAAATCTCCTGTTGCCCTTTTCGAGCTGGATCTAACCTCCATCTGTCTGCAGATTCCCGCACCCGACCCCTGTTGAAGATCTCAGCCACATTTATGCTGTTCCCTTGGTTTCTCCATTAATAAATTGTTGGTTAAAAACTTTCACCGTAGTCTGCGCTGATTCTGTATGTCGTGGGTTAGACACTTACCTCACAACATGACCATGTCTCTCAATGTTTACGTTGCTTTTTAATTTTGTTTTTTTTTAAGTTCATTTCAAATCAAATGTTTTCATTACATGCATTCAGATATTTTTTGTTTTTTTGCCTCATCTTGATCATTTTATAACTATTTTCTTTGTGCTTCTACCTATTTTTATAAATATTTTTGCACCATGTGGACAGGTGCTGCATCTGCGTCTTTAATTTTATTTTACCTCCCAATACATATACAAAAGCCTCTCCCTAATCCTGATATATTTAAAATCTGAATTTCTGCCGAGTTTGCATCTCCCACCACACAACTGGTATTTTTAGAGGGAAGCTGAGATAGCAGCCTTTCTGTATACTAAAATTAAAAACAAGAAAAGACATTTTACTGTTCAACTTTATTCCTTAACCCATGAGTCTTTGCATGAAAAATCTTACCAAAGACCATCACACCAGTGCGGACACCCTGTCACCTCCTTTGAAAATAATTATGCTCACTGCTTTATACATATTCGTGATAAAATTTACTTGTGTCAGAAAATCAACAGTCATCTGTCTTGGACTGTCTGAGCCCTTTAATAATAACCATATGAGGTGATGACATGTCATTCCTGCTGGTTACTTTTTCACTCCTTCACACAACAAATCCACAACAACAGTCCGGCTGACTGATTAGAGCCACTTTGATGTAAAACTGACACAACATCTGCCTGCACACCTGACACAAGCTTCTTAGTTCTCATTTGACTTTGTGAATGGAAGAAAAATGAGTCACCTTCTACAGTACACACATTCAAAACAACTGCAATCACACTTGGCAGGTGTGATTACCCCCCCCACCCCCCACCCCACCCCCCACTAAAATACAACAACATCAGTACAAATGCATGAACTAACACTGACATGCACACAGTGACAAGCAGCTCTAATGAATGCAAGGGACAGTGTAATGTTGCCCCAGTCGGGACCATTAACTGCATATAATGGGCCATTCCCATCTGTACCGGGTCGGCCCGGGCCGGGTAGCCCCAGTCGGCCCCAGCCTGGCCCGGTTGATTCCACACATCCTTGCCTTAAGCCCATGTGGGCTGATTCTACCCACCAATCAGAGGCTTGCTCTAATGGAAGGTGAGAATTTGCTGTCAGCAGTGGGTGTGTTGGCCCTGGTCGGCCTGAAGCAGACCCCCTCGAGAAGAGGGCTGAGAATGAGCCTTGGTTGGCCCGGAAAAATACCAGGCCACCCAGATATGTAAACAACCTACGCTACCCGGCCCGGGCCGACCCGGTACAGATGGGAATGGCCCATAAGATACATCAATCAGCCTGACGTGAAAAAAGCGGCAGCTGTAACTATCTGATTGGGGTTGTTTAGGACTCAGGGTGCCTGACTCAAAAGCCAACAACATGTAGACAAATAAAACAAAAAGCTCAATAATCTTCAAATTGAAAAACTTTTAAATACACTAATGTGAGATGTTGCATGGCCTCTGTTAACCCTCAGGAGGCAGGCGTTGCAGATTTGCAACAGTTAAAACCTACCTACCTGGTTACTCCACACACGTATTTCATGAGCATTTTTTTTTTTACTCAGAAGCATCCCTGAAGGCCTTAGTTGTTCGTCCTTTTATCAAAACTTATTTTGAGCCTGAGAGGGTTAAGAGTCTGACATTCTCCAGCTCCTCCTGGAGCATCTCAGGGTTTTCAATTCAATTCAAGTTTATTTATATAGCGCCAAATCACGACGAGAGTCGTCTCAAGGCACTTCACATAATAAACATTCCAATTCAGGTCAGTTCATTAAGCCAATCAGAAAAAAGTTTCCTGTATAAGGAACCCAGCAAATTGCATCAAGTCACTGACTGGATGTCAGTGACTTTACAGCAATCTTCATACTAAGCAAGCATCTGGCATCAGTGGAGAGGATAACTCCCTTCTAACAGTGGAGAAACCTCCAGAGGATCCGGGCTCAGTATAAACAGCCATCCTCCACGACTTTTCCAGGCCAGAGAGGACATATAATCCCTCCTATCAAGTTCTAGGTCTGCTCTGGCATCTCCTTCTACTGCAACATGCCTGGAGAACCTCCAGCATCCTATCCCAATTCCAGAGCCACCTCAGCTGAAATACTTTGATGAGGAAGAGCTTAGAATGAAACCATCTGACTTTGGCTTTTTGAACGTCAAGTTAGAGCTCTTTATCTGCTTTACAGCTGTTGGCTGTTATGCTAGCAGTAACTTTTTTTAGTTTGCTAATCATCAATAAAAGGAAGAAGAAAAATGAGATGTTTGCTTTTTCTGTTGACATCATGGTGGAGCCAGGAAGTAAAAGTAAGAGAGAAATGTCTTTGGAGGCAAAGCAAAAAGCTAAAAGAGTTTGACGGAACTAAAGGAGGCAACAAAATCATGATGGTGACCTGGCTTTGCTGTTACAGAACTTGGAAGTAATAATATTTTTGTCCAACATTGTGAATCTTTTTCATTTGTGGTTTATTTTAGCATTATTTACATCATGTTAGTAATAGCTTGTTGTTAGCGCTAGCTACAGCAGGCTGCTGTAAGGTATTTTTACAACAGTAAAATTCCACTTGCAACCAGTAGGGCGGATGAGCAGGAAATCACTCTGTGCTACTTTAATAAAAGACTGGAAAAGAAAAGTTGAAATTTTTGAGACAGCTCTAACTCTTTCCCTCTCTCAGAACTCATGCTGAAGCTTAACCAAACACAGACCGACAGTAAAGCCTAAACCTGGACAAACATAATTAACCAAATAAAATCAGCAAGATTTCATACATAGCTTTTAAAAGAAAATTTTGAGGTAGGCCCTGTCCACACGTAGCCAGTGATCTGCCAAAACGTAGATATTTTTCTACGTTTTGGCCTTCCATCCACACGACAACGGAGTTTTTTCACACGACAACGGATCTTTTTAAAAACTCCGGCCAAAGTGAAGATCTGCGTTTTCTCCGTTTTGGGTGTCTGCGTGTGGACAGACAAAACCGGAGTTTTAAGGTCTGCAACGTCACTTTCCGCGACAAAAAAAATGCTGACATCACGTGTGCGACCTGTGTTTACACTAGCCGACAGCGTGGAAGCCCTCAGAGCTGCGCTCGCTTTATCAATTGTCCAAGCGCTTTTTGCTTGTTTGTTTTTGCAAGTGGAATTACTGCTCCTTGCGGAAGACCACAGGGAGACGAAAAGTTACGCTGACTGGATACAATTCGGGGGAAGTACTGCCGCCTACAGGTCTGGCATGTCCTTAACAACATATTTATCTGGGTACGTGTGGACAGAGTTTTTTTTTAAATGAGGTGGTGTGGATGCAAGTTTTTGGAGGGGCGGATATTCGTTTTTTTAAAAACCTGGCTACGTGCGGACTAGGCCTTAGATCCTTATTGCAGCCTCCACTCTTGAGTTTGTTTTTTTGATCATTCAGTCAAAGTGATGTGACAAATAAATCAACTCCTGCAGCTCGACCTCCATTTCATTATGTCTTGTTGTGAAACTGACGTTGACCTGCTCAGTGGTTTTCTGCGTGTTACACAAACACTTTAATCCATTTAGGGGAAGCTCTTGGGGAATTTGAGCTTGTTCTTCTTAAGGTGAGAAACATGCATCATGTGTCAGTCTGAGTTTGTCACAGGCTGCGAGCAAAAGGCCGGAAAGTGGCTGAAAGCACAAACAATTAACTCGGAAACGCTGTTGGCGTGCTGCAACTCTCTTAGACTGGCATGAGGCATTACTGGTGCAAAGAAATCGACCCAGCCTGAAGACACAAGTCTACTTTTACTTAAATTTCTTGGTGTGTTTTTAAACCAACACTACACATTTGAATCTGCATTAGAGCTTCTTTAGACCAAATGATTTTACTGTATTGATTTTTGTCTGAGTAGTTCAAACATAAACATTCAGCAGGAAACTGCAACGCACCTGTTTGAGAAAACTTTGCTATAATTGTACACTTGGATCTCCAGCAGCTCGTTTCCATCCAGTCTGCTGGCAATGGGCCATCGGAATGTCTGAAACAGACATAAAAAGCAAAGGTTACATAAGAGCTGCACAAAATGTGAATACAATGTTTTAAATGCCCAGTTATTAGTGAATGTTTCCATAGTCTTATGTACCCCATCCATCCATCCATCCATCCATTTTCATCCGCTTATCCGGAGTCGGGTCGCGGGGGCAGTGGTCTAAGGCGAGAAGCCCAAACTTCCCTCTCCCCAGCCACTTGGGCCAGCTCCTCTGGGGGAATCCCAAGGTGTTCCCTGGCCAGGTGAGAGACATAGTCCCTCCACCGTGTCTTGGGTCTACCTTTAGGTCTCCTCCCGGTTGGACGTGCCCGGAAAACCTCACCAGGGAGGCGTCCAGGAGGCATCCTGACCAGATGCCCGAGCCACCTCAACTGGCTCCTCTCGATGTGGAGGAGCAGCGGGTCTACTCCGAGGCCCTCCTGAATGACCGAGCTTCTCACCCTACCTCTAAGGCAGAGCCCAGCCACTCTTCAGAGAAGACTCATTTCGGCCGCTTGTATCCGCAATCTCATTCTTTTGGGAACTACCCAAAGCTCATGACCATAGGTGAGGGTAGGAACGTAGATCGACCGGTAAATCGAGAGCTTCGCCTTCTGACTCAGCTCTCTCTTCACCACGACAGACCGGTACAACGCCCGCATCACTGCAGATGCAGCACCAATCCGCCTATCAATCTCACGCTCCAGCTTTCCCTCACTCGTGAACAAGACCCTGAGATACTTAAACTCCTCCACTTGGGGCAGGACCTCATCCCTGACCCAGAGAAGACATTCTACCCTTTTCTGACTCAAGATGCATGCAACACAATCATCTATGTAACAAAACGTCTTTTATCATTTGACAAAATGCTAAGTCTTTATTGCATGTAATGGTACAAAGGAGAAATAGTTCAGAAGTAGTGCATATCTACAAAACCTGTCAAGTTTACGACCTTCGCAACACAATGAATCACTGACGTGCAGATCAGTCTCAATTAGTACTTTCTACACGACTGATTCAGACCCTCAGTAGAGAATTTACTGGTCCCACTCCAAACTCTAAATCCATGCACCATTTAACAGGAACAACGCCCTCTAGTTTTCTCCTCTCTGACCTCCTCTTTGTGTGATAAACTCCCGTGAGTCCTCTATATAACAACCATCTTTAAGTGGTTACTGACATGTGATCATTACATGAAAATGTAAAACAAATGTTATGCAAAAAATGTTAATAATCCAGTTTTGTTGCTGGTTTATTGTTTCTAGATTAAAAAATCCAAAACAAAGCAGCCCCAAACTTACAGATATGACATCATTATGTTATTGTTTTTTTGACAAAAATATATTAATAAAAAGTTGAACGGTTATTCTCTTGGGTCAATCTTACTTCAGGACTTGATTGCCAAAGCCTCATGTCAGCGTAAATCCGTTGCCCTGGAATAATCTCTGCCAGCTGCGGAGGTGGTGCTCTGGAGGGACTAAAATATCCCAACATGTTTTATTCAGCACTCTAAACATCTGCAGGTTATGCAGAACCAACTGAGCTTATCTGTTTTTTCTTCAACGTAAACAAGAAGCCAAGTGAAATGAAATGATTCCACTTTTGTCTTTTTGGTATAAAAAAGTTTTAAATCATTTTTGGCTAATTATTAGCGTTGTCTCCGTCCGCCTCCTTCAGAATCTGTTACATCCCATGTAAATAAAGAAACAAAACAGAGGAACTCACATAAACGTCAACAGAATAGGACGTGTCTGAAACATTTTAAAGGGTACTGTTTAATTAAAATACAGTTATAATGTGAAATTATGATGATTACTTAACATTACTATAAATTATTTCATCCTAATGGAATAAAATCTACACAATTATTGGTTTCAGGAGTAAAAAATATGTAGACCATAACATTTATAATGGATATAATCAGAAATAAAATAAGCATACCACATGTAGGGAAGGTAATTATGAGCATAATTAGTTAAGTGCTTTTATTAATGACAGATAAATGAGAGGATCTGATACATTTGAGCACAAATAGAATGAGTTTCTATGTGTTCTGTAAGGGATTTGATGTTTTTAATGACACTTTCTATAAATTTATCAGATTTTTTTCTTCAAACGCAAACTTAAAGCTAATTTAACCACAATGTTGATGCAAAAACTTAGCAATTCTGAAGAATATAAATGTAAAAGTATTAGAAAACATTCAAATAAGTAAATAACAGGTGTTTTATAATAATTCTGTCAAGGGTAATGTGCATCTTAAAGGTGTGCAACACTAAAAAAAAACATTTTTAAAATCTTATTTCTGATTATGATTAATCTTTCTGAGTGTTTAATACAGGTTGAACATGAAAATAGTCCCCTACACCTATCTCCTGCATTAACTTTCGATAGAAAATAGATGGTGAAACTCTAGGATTTGTAAAGCCTGACAGATCTATGTCACACTGTCACTTAACATTCATGGAATCACCCATCTTTACTCGCGGCGAGGAAGGCTGTTGTGGTTTTACCATACAGGAAACAGCAGAGAACGTCTCAGCTAGTTGAAGCTGACCGTTAGCACCAGCAACTTCACCACACAGCAGAACTCCTCTTGGCTTGAGTTATTTGTGGAGATAAAACATCAACGTTGCAGAGCAAACAGACTAAGTGGTAGAGTCACGTTGCTGTTGCCCAATCAGAGGTGAGATGTCCAAATATCAGGAAATAAGACTCCAAGTCCTGCCGTCTGAAGCTCGGCTCTGTGGTTCGTTTCTAGTTCTTGGAAATGGTGCACCAGTGTGTTTGCCCTTCGAGTATGACTTACAGTTCAAGGCATTCATTCCTACGAGAGACCACTGCAAATATATTGATTTAACAAGCGTTCCACACCTTTAATAAAATATAACAGTGCTTGTTTCATGCGAGAAAAGTTTATGGTATTGAGTGAAAGGTTAAAAGGATGATGAGTGTTGGTGTATTTTCAGTAAATGACTCAAGTAGAAGGCTGCCTGACAGCGGAGAGATCAGGGCAGCTCGGGTGATTTAAAACTCATTCACTCCCTGTTGTTTTTGGCCTCTTTTTCAGCAAAGCACTGCAGGCTGTCAGGTACCAGATCCATCAGGACTGTCCCATTACCACATCCTGGGGTTCCCACCTGCTACTGTTAGACCGGCCTTCAAGGATATCCAACAATGCACGTGTGTGTGTGTGTGTGTGTGTGTGTGTGTGTGTGTGTGTGTTGCTCTCCCTGTGTACTTTCTCCTCTGCTCTTCTCCCTTTACACAAACTGCTGCACCTCGAGCCATGACTCCGTTAAACTGATCAAGTTTGTGGACGACACCACCCTCATCGGGCTCATCTCTGATGGTGATGAGTCCGCCTACAGGAGGGAGGTGGAACGGCTGGTGTACTGGTGCAGCAGCAACAACCTGGAGCTCAATGCTCAGAAGACAGTGGAGATGATTGTGGACTTCAGAAAAGTCACAGCCCCATCTCTCCCCCTCGTCCTGTCGGACACCCCCGTCACCACTGTCGACTCCTTCCGCTTCCTCGGAACCACCATCACACATGACCTTAGGTGGGAGCCATCCATCAGCTCCCTGATCAAAAAGGCCCAGCAGAGGATGTACTTTCTGCGGCAGTTGAAAAAGGCCAAGCTGCCGGCCCAGATGATGGTGCAGTTTTACACGGCCATCACTGAGTCCATCCTCACCTCCTCCATCGCTGTGTGGTACGCTGGAGCCACAGTGAGGGACAAACATAGACTGCAGCGCATTGTGCGCTCTGCTGAGAAGGTGGTTGGCTGCAGTCTTCCATCTCTCCAGGACATGTACGTCTCCAGAACTCGGGGGTGTGAAGGTCGGATAGCAGCTGACCCTTCATACCCGGGTCACAGACTTTTTGAGCCGCTTCCCTCAGGCAGGTTACAATCCATCCGGACCAGAACCTCCTGCCATAAGAACAGCTTCTTTCCATCTGCCGTTAGACTTGTGAATAGATTATAAACACACAACCATGCTGGTCTTCTGTACTCGACACAAAGTCACGTTATCGGCCATGTTACCATTACCTGCCATTTTTTTATAGCTGAAAGTTTTATTCTTTTCTATTCTAATTTATTCTATTTTTTAATCTTATTATTCATGTTATATGTAGCACATTAGTACCGAAGCAAGTTCCTAGTTTGTGAATTGTTTGTTCACTGACAATGGCAATAAACCTTTTCTGATTCTGATTCAATAACCCTGAAGTCTACTTCTTTTTCTCCCACTCTACTGAGGCCTGCACAGTGTGACTAGCTCTCACTGACAGCCTGAGGTTAAATCGGTGACACTGCTGTGTTGTCTTTATAACTAAATCTCCTCCAGAGTGTTTTAGTTGCCAAAAAGAAAGAAAGGAGCCCCCAGCTGGATGCTAATGTGACAGCATGCATACAGCTAGAGCAGGAAGCAATGTCAGAACAATACACACACGTTTGTGTCTGTACACATCAGGTAGACGTGCTAATTTCCCCAGAGAACCACACGTCTGCACAAACAATACAGGTGCTGGTTTTCTTTTGTTTCTACTTATAAATACAGATGCTTTTGTTGTACTTCTGCACCAATCTTCTTTTAAATTGACTAAATTAGGTAAAATTTCCTTTAAAATATGATGGGGATTCACAAAAGCAGCCAGATTTTTATGCACTGTTTGTTTAGGGATGCAACACAAGGGTGAGAGACAATCTCCGTGAACCAAACTCATCAATTTCCCAAAAACACACATTTATGAATACTTCACGTGTATTTCTTGCTTCTTCCCACTAAATTTCCATTACCCTGCATTGTTTATTTATTTAAGTGCAACACGGTTATGTAATCAGATTTAATAGCAGGATGATTTCATTTAGACTCAGGACAACATAAAACTTTAATTTAAACAATGTCAGTTTGCTGGATACATTTAGGTATGTGAGGCTCACTTTTGACTATGTGTTGCCATGGTTACGTGAGTTAAGCTGGTTAAGCTTAGTAAAGTCTGG